CTCCCTTTCCCTCTCACTCTCCTTTCTTTGTTCCTTCTCTCTTTCACAAGTACTGGGGCCTCTCTTTCACAAGTACAAGGGCCTCTGGCTCTTGCTTTTTTTTTTTTTCATTTTAAGGTGGTACTCTACCCCTTTAGCTTCAACTCTACTTCTGGTTTTTTCCTAGTTAACTGGAGGTAAGTGGCTCTGGGATTTGTCTACCAACCTTCAAATTATGGTCCTCAGATCTTAGCCTTTTGGGTAGTTAAGATTACAGATGTGAGCCACTGACTTGCCCCACTCTTGTTAACACTCTTCAAGATATACATAAATAGTTTGTTTCCACTGAGGGCACCAACTATCAGGTGATGCTGGTTGGGAGGGATAAAGAGTGTGAGGCACAGGAATAGGAGGCTGAGGAGGATCCACAGCAGTCCATGTCCCTAGAGGCAAGTCAAAGACAAGTAGTGGATTTCCAGTTACCTGAGCCACCTACTCAAGGACATAAAGACCAAATCCTTGATCTTTTTTCTCTACCCAGGAATGAATCTGGGACTTACTGACATTTTCCTGAGAACATATCTCAAGGTTAATATTGTGAAGATCATGCTAGTGAAGGAGCAGACATGTACTGGCTACTGAACCAGGCTAAAGACATATATAAGCACTGGGTTCAGTAATGTCCACCTCAGTCTAAGAGTTAAGTATTCCAAGTGGCCATGGCCATCCAAGGGAGCATCAACCTGGCCAAACTCTTCATTGTCCCTGTGAAGAAAAGTCGCTGTGGGAACAAAAGCCATGACTCATTCCATGCAAGGTCACAGGCCACAGGTGCCTCATCCCTATTCCCAGATGCACTGGCATCATCTTAGTGACTATTCCAAAGAAGCCGCTGCTGATGTCCAGCATTAATGACTGTAACACTGAGACCAGGGGCTGCTCTTTCACCCTGGGTAACTTTATCACATCTACCTTTGATGCTGTCTCTAGGAAATACAGCTACATGACCCCCAAATTCTGGAAAAGGACCATATTCACTGAGTTTCTATTTCAGAAATTCATTGACCATCATAAGAAAAACCCACAACAAGATTTCCATGTAGAAGAACTAAGTTGAAACTGTGGCTACAAAATAGGGTCTTTATTCAATAAAAATAAAATTAAACCTGTTTAGATGTGTGTGTGTGTGTGTGTGTGTGTGTGTGTGTGTGTGTGTGTGTGTGTGTAGTAAGTGGTCTTTGCCTTCAATAGTTTGTAATCAAATTTATAATAAAGCTTCCAACTGAAAAGAACATTAGAAAATTAAAGACAAGACATAGTGGTTCATAGCTGTAACCCAGCTGTCTGGCAGAGGGAGGTAGGAGGATACATATTCCAAGGTTAGTCCAGGAGGGAAATGGAGAGTCCCTAGTTTGAAAACAAACTGAAAAAGCAGGAGGATTGAAAATATAATTCATATGATAGTTTGCCCTGCAAGCTGAAGGCTGAGTCCAACATTCAGTACTGAAGAAGAAAAAGAAAAAAGCAATAAAGCTCAGTGATAAATGGAACCCAAAAAAGTTTAGTATGGATTAAACCTTAACTATGTCTCAAAAACTGCAGTAACTCAAACCTTTGTAGCAATTCTGTGAGGCAAGTTACTATGATTTTTCTCTAGTTTACAGACAAGGAAATTGAGGCCTAGAGAGAATAGGTAACTTTTTCAAAGAAATAACTGTTAAGGGGAGCAATATGGCTTAAGGTATTCTGGAAACAGAGCTTGTGCTCTAGAGGAATTAGATATCAGCTAAATCCAAGATTATAAACTGAAAGATACAAGGTAGAAAAAAGGATGGAAACAAGGAGTGACCTTGAACCCAGGAACAGGTTGAAATAACATAGTGTAGACCAGTAAAGTGTCTCTCTGAAGAGAAGATTGAGGATTACAGGAAAATCAAAGGGTGGGGAGCAAGGAACAAGCAGCTTGTAAATACCCCTACGACTCAAAGTGAAAAAAAAAGTGAGCAATAAGAAACCATTTTTGAGTTCCTGAGTTCAGAAGGGATGACAAAGAGATTTTCCTGGAAAAATATTACACATCAGTGATACGAAATAATCCTAACTCATTATCTTGCCCATGTAATTGTAACCCCTCTGTACAGTATGTTCACAATAAAAAAAAAAGAATCCTAACTTCAAAATTAAATACCTATTACCACTTACTCCTCCTGAGTTCTATAAACCAATAAGAGATTTGGGGTGCCAGAAACATTAGAGGATCCTTTGCTTCTATGTATTTTTCAGACACCTCTTCCTAGGAAGAATGCCTTCATATAGTACCTGTTTTTCATCTATAGGAGAATAGTGGTTGGAGGACAGGCCCAGGGGAAAAAAGTGAGACCTTTCTGAAAAATAACTAAAGCAAACAAAAAAAAAGTGAGGCCTATCTGAAAAATAACTAAAGCAAAAACAGCTAGGGCATGGTTCAAGTGGTAGAATGTCAAACCAATAAGCACAGGTCCTGAATCCAAACAATTAGCACCATCACAAAAAGAAAGATAAAATTTGTTCTAGACATAGTAATATATGCTTGTAACCTCTGTACTTGGGAGGTGAAAGCAGGAAAATCTAATGAAGTGAGATTCTTTTGTTGGTTGTATGGCTTGAACTCAGGGCCTGGGCACTGTCCTTGAGCTTTATTTGCTAGAGGCTAGAGCTCTACCACCTCAAGCCACAGTGCCACTTCCTGTTTCTGGTTAACTGGAGATAAGAGTCTTATAGACCCTCTGGCCTTAGCTTCAAACATCATTCCTCAGATGTCAGCATCCTGAGTAGCTAGGATTGGAGGCCTGAGCCACTGGCACCTAACTTGAGATTTTTGTATATTATAACCCAAATCAATTGTTCCAACTTGTTGCAAAATCTCTTAACTTTATCAAAATCTCTTAACATTTTCAAAACTACAACAGGAGATTTGTAGGTGAGAAGTAGTCAGAGGAAATAACTTTTTTTTTTTTTTTGGTTGGCTGGTTGTGAGGCTTGAACTGTGGGCCTGTGTGCTATCCCCCAGCACCCAGCTTCAGCTCAAGGCTAGCACTCTACCACTGAAACCACAGCTCCACTTTTGGTTTTCTGTTGGTTAATTGGAGATAAGTCTCCCAGAAGTTCCTTTTCCTGGCTTTGAACTGCCATCCTCAGACCTCAGCCCCCTGAGTAGCTAGGATTACAGGTGTGAGCCACCAGTGCCCAGCAAGAGGGAAATAATCTTGTTACATTCCATATCCAAATGAATTGTTTAGAATTTCTCCACTAGTTTTTCAATTAAAATGATGGTAATTTTATAATGTAATATGTATTTATGTATAAATTATATATATACTATATACAATTATATTTAGAGAGAGAGAACGCCCACGCCTAGGCTTGCCTCAAGCTTGAAACCTTTTGCCTCTGCCTCCTGTGTTGTGATTATATAGGCCTCATAGGCAGGTACCAACATGCCTAGCAATAAAAAACATTTAAAAAACTCTGTACCCTGCAAGAGATTAATTTTAATATCTCAATATTTAAGTTTTAGTTTTTTTCTTTTTTGGTTAAGGTTGTTTTGGTTTGGTTTTTTTTTTTTTTTTGGTCCGGTCGTAGGGCCTGAACTCTGGGCCTGGGCGCTGTCCCTCAGCTCTTCAGCTCAAGGCCAGTGCTCTACCACTTGAGCCACAGCGCCACTTCCGGCTTTTTGCTTACGTGGTGCTGAGAAATCGAACCCAGGGCCTCAGGCATGCAAGGCAAGCACTCTACCACTGAGCCATCTTCCCAGTCCCTAGTTAAGGTTTTCTGTTGTCCATATTTGGAAGTGATGACCAGTTTCTGCTTGAAATTCTAAAACAGGCCCTGAGAAGCAATCGTTCTCAGCAGTACTTTGTTCTCAATACTAAAGGCATTAACTTTTGTCACTGAAGAATGAAAGTCATTGTCAAATGATATTACTCAAAATGAAGTGAATGTCTAGCAAAGATCTGATGAACTCGAAGGAGCAAGCTGAACAGTAAAGTGTTCTCAAAAGGATCTGAGGAAGTAAGTTCAGATACTGAAGAATGGATGAGCCTAAAGACTATGGTGTGGCCTGCAGTGTTACCCAATCACATGCTAAAGTTCCAGACCAGCCTGGGAACATAGAGAAAACTTTGTCAGAGGAGGGAGGGAAGGACAGGCCTCAATGTTGCCTGGCTAGATAACAAAAGGGTTTAAATCCTAGAGAGCATTAAAACCACAATCTTATTTTTTTTTCTCTTCCTAGGGGGAAATAATTTGCATCTCCATTAGAGAAAAAGATGTCACTGCAGAGCTTGACCCTTGTCAGTACTATGTCAAATAAAGCACCTTCCCTAAATCATTCTTAGGTGGGCCTGTCAAACACCATTTTGCTTCTGCCAAGGCCCTGTAGCCACCCTTTCTGCCAAGATTTTCATGATTTTAAAACCACAATGAAAAAGTATCTTTTCTGTAAGTCAGTTAACTATTCCTTTACACCTTCCCCTGCTTCATGACTGTATAGGTCTGGAGGAGGGTGCGGGTTATTCCTCCAAATACTAGCAGCTAAAAGCCATTCGGGGTGGGGGCCCTAGCCAATTATTTCATAGCCATTGTTTCAGCCTAACACGGACAAAGACTGGCTTTCCGTGAGATTTTAAACACAAGCTTGGAACCTCGTGGAGGGGGAGGCCTCGGCCGAGGTGCGGGCCACACCAGTTGCCCGGCGGGGGAGGGGGGAGGGGTTGCTCTAGACCCGAGGGGGGGTGGGGGCGGGGAGGGGGTTGAGGGAGGGACGGGGGGGGCGAGCCCCTCCGCGTAGCCCCCGCAGTGACGCCCGCGCTGGGCCTGCGGTTCCGCTACAGGAGCCCCGGCTCCCCAGCTTTTGTTCGGGGTCAGGCTGCTGTCCGCGCGCCCGCTCGTCCTCCCCAAGTCCGTGGAGTGTGTGTGGGTGGTGAGGGCCGTGCGGGAAGCGGCCTCCGGAGGCCGCCGACCCCGGCTGTGGAGATACTCACCCCGCTCCGCTCCGCCCGGTCCCCGCAGCCGGGGCGGGGCGATGGGGCTGAGGGAGGGGGGGCGGGGAGAAGGTACAAGCGTGCGGGCAGGCTACCGCCTCGCCACCCGCCTTCGAGGGCAGAGCCGGACAGGGTCCAAGGGGGGCGGCGAGGCGCTAAGGCCGCGACGGAGAAACAGAACCCGCAACGCGACAAGCCCCTCCGACGCCGCAGTCGCGGGCGGTCACGTCGGAGCATGCGCACGGCACTTTCCCGCGCGCGCAGGCGGGTGACGTGGTCGGCCGCGCGCTCCAGGCTGGGGCCTCGCGGAGGCGGGAGGGGAGGAGAGCCCGTCGGAGGGGCGGGGGTGGGGACACCTCTCTGCTGAGGGCGTGGACTAGCGCCAAGGCCACGCCCCCTCGCCTCTCTGGCACCCCTTCCCTCCCCGCGCCCAGGGAGGGGACCTTGAGGGTGCCCTCCGCCGAGGACAAAGGCTCTGAGTGCTTGGAGCTGAGAAGCAGAGAGCAAGCTGAACCTTGGGGGAAGGGTGCCAGCAGTTTCAAGAGTGTCTGTACACTGTCCTCCAACAAATTGTCCAATGGCTGGAATATACAGAGGCGACCACTGGGGAAAGAGTAGGATGCTATGTGCTTATTAGAGTTCCCCTAAGCGCTTAGAGCCACACCAGTAAGCACACTGCAGGCAGTGCATACAGGGCTGCCACTTAAAACTTAAAGGTGAAGCCAGAGGCAGGAAGCTGAATACTGACAGTAATAGTACCATCTGTGGCATATATTATTCTATATATATATGTGTGTATAGGATATATATTATATATGTGTGTATAGGATATATATATGTGTGTGTATGTATGTATAAATGGGGCTAACCTAACAGCAGCTACTGTGAAAATGTTTTCACATGCAAAAATAAGGATGCATTACTTTGCATTGTGCTTAATAGTTTATAAACACCTTTTCGTAAATACATAATGCCATGTTAACTAAAAATAAATATTTACTCTGGAGATTAAAGTATCATGATTCACAAGGACGGGAAGTAAATTAGATAGTTTTTCTCATTGTATCATTCATTGCAAAAGATAATATAGGTCTATTTGTTTGCCCTACAACACTATAAAGTGTTTGAGGGACCAGACATAGTGGATGATGTCTGCAATCCTAGGGAGAGGAGTTTGTTTTTTTAATAAAATAAAATGGAAGTATGAGGATAACACATTCTCAGCCTGGCATCAGGTGGCTCCCAACGATAGTCCTAGTTACTCATGAGGCTGAAATATTAAGGATCTTGGTTGGAAGCCAGCCCAGGCAGAAACATTTGCCAGAGTCCACCTCCAAACTAACCACCGTAAGCATTTGGAAGCGTGACTCAAGTGGTAAAGCACCAGCCTAGAAATTAGAAGATTACATTCAAACCCTGGTACCACAAAAAAAGAAAGAAAGAAAAAAGAAAAGCTTGTACATCTGTCATCACAGCAACATGTGGGAAATGTAAATAGAAGGATCACAGTCTGGGTAGACACTGACATAAATGTGACTTACTTAAAAAGTAATTCAAAACAAAACAGTTGGGGCATAGTTCAAATAGTAAAATACCTGCCTAGCCAGTATGTGGACCCAAGTTCCAACCCAATACTACCAATAACAACAAAAAAGACCCAGTTTATGAAAATTAACGCAAGGCTTAGGGCATCAGGTCACCATTACCCCAAACAAAATGCAGAACAGTTCCAGCATCCCCAGAAAGTTACCTCCTACTCTTTGCAGTTAATTTCTCCCACCTAACTTCAGACATCTAGGAACTAGATTCATTTTGCCAGTCCTAGAAAATGGTATCATATAATATGTACGTGTCTGACTTTTTTGTTCAACATAATATTTTTGAGAATCATTTGTTTTATTGCAATAATCGCTAATTCATTTCATTTTCTGGGTGGGTTATTGTTCCATGACCATTCAACCATTTATCTGGAAAGGGTAGTTGGTGTTTTTTAAGCTTGGGGCTATTATGACTGGAGCTGTTAGGACTAATCATATTCAAGAATCTTGTGTCTTGTCAGGTGCTGGGGGCTCATGCCTGTAATCCTAGCTACTCAGGAGGCTGAGATCTCAGGATCATGGTTCAAAGCCAGCCAAGGCAGGAAAGTCTGTCTCCAATAAGCCACCAGAAAACTGTAAGTGGTGCGGTGACTCAAGTGGTAGAGCACTAGCCTTGAGCTAAAGAGCTGAGGGACAGCACCCAGGCCAACTTCAAGCCCCACGACTGACAGAAAAAAAAAAGAAAAAAGAAAAAGAAAAAAAATAATATTTTTTTATTTTTTTTATTTATTATTTAATTAATTTATTTATTTTTGCCAGTCCTGGATCCTTAACTCAGGGCCCGGGCACTGTCCCTGAACTTCTTTTGCTCAAGGCTAGCACTCTACCATTTGAGCCACAGCACCCCTTCCAGCTTTTTCTGTGTATGTGGTACTGAGGAATCGAACCCAGGGCTTCATGCATGCTAGGCAAGCACTCTACCACTAAGCCATATTCCCAGCCCCAAGAATTTTGTGTCTTTATTTTTACTTTTCTTAAGCAAATCATACAGGTTGTGACCAATATATAGATAAAAATTGTATTTTAGTAATATTTTATACTGATCACATTCCTTAGCTTGGAGCTTCTCCTACTCTACTTTAGATTCTAGAGTCTAATTTACAGTAGATGAGTCTACCTTAAATTCTAAGTTGCAGAATTTTGTTGCTGAATTTAATTTCCTTTGTGCAATTAAAGTGTGTGGAAGTTATTTTGTTTGTTGGTTAGTTTGCTTGAGAAAGGATCTCACTCTGTAGCCCAAGCTCCATAGATGGTAGGATCCTCCTGCCTCAGCTTCTCAGGTCGGGGTATGCACCACCACACAGGACTTAGAAGTACTGTGTGCTTTAATTTTTAGTGGAAGACATGTGTAATACAATGTAAAATTCTTTGACCTTTGTTTCCTAAGAAAAATTTGAGAAATTTTCTAAAGGTTAACTGAAAATTACTTTAAAAAGTTTTATTGTCAGCAAAGGATAAATAAACGAAGAATTGTGGCAGAATTTGCTGTGACTGAGTGCATAGTAAAAGAATTGTAGCTCTGCTTGTGTTTTTGACAATCTTATTCTTTTTTTTGTTTTTTTTGTTTTCTAATTTATTTTCATTGTTATTGTAATAGTGATGTACAGAGTTGACAGTCTTATTCTTCAGGGTCTTGTTTGTACTGTGAATGGCATGGCACATTTTAGGAAATTAGTCAACTTGAACAATATAAAATGAAGATTGAATTGTTCTACTTATTGAATTTTGATATTTACTTTGTGTTCTCTAATATTTTGAAGTATTTTTGTTGTTTTTTGTTTCTTAGGCATTTCAAGATACTTGGGAACTACAATTTATTCTTTAAATTTATCTGAGGAACTCAGTGTTCTATAAAGATCACTTTGGCAGTGGTCTGATATTACCCAGGTACTTCATTTTTTTCCCCACCAGATTATTGGTTGGGAGACTTATAAATCCTTGTACTTTAGGGAGTATAGAAAAACTTCACTTCTATGATATCTCCTGGGTTACCAGATTCTAGCTTTATATTGTTTTGGAGCTATTTTGCAGTTCTTTGTAAGTCATAAGTAATTAATAGAGATATAAATTCTATCCTGTCTGATAGTGTTTTTATATGCTCCTCTACCCATCCAGTGGAAAAAACCAGCTCTATCTCATTTCATCAGGTTCCCTCCTACCAAATGAATAAAATAAATGTTTAAACATGTTTATTTTTATATCTGTATGAAAATCATGCTTTTGATTTTTTTCTGAAATTTTACCTTTTGATAAGGCACCTAGCAATTTCACCCAAGAAGCTCATAGAACTAAACAAATATTCAAGACTACTCTCTTAATATATATGTATATATTTGTATATATACTTGTATCATTATATATATATATGTGTGTGTGTAACTATATATAGTTGTGTATATATGTGCATATATATTGGCTTTGTGGAGCTATAAGGACAGTTGCTTAGAAAAGTGAGCCAAATCTTGATCAAACAAAGGATCTTTGAATGGAAAATGGTGGAAGATGATAAAGAGCCTAAGAAGTAAATGAGAACATAGATCCACGGGGACTACCTGTATAAGTAAACATAGATCACTTTTGGGCAAAATAGAAAAGAAGACTTTAACAGCTTATTTGTACCACATTATATCCAGATTGGTTTGGAAAGCAGTGAATGAATAATAAAGAACCTACAAGTAATAGAGAACTACAAAATCTCCTAATCTCTTCAGATATTTAGGTTCAAATACCGTGTGCTGTCAGGAGCCCAGGTTAGGCTCACTGGTATGGCACAGCAAGATGGTCTTCCCCTCCAGGATTTTCCACTGAGAGTTCAGGGAAGAAAAATACAATGAGGGTATTTTTGTGAGACAAGATCAATACATATGCCCCAGAGCCTCTTGTTATATTTGTAAGGACGTGAATGCTCTTGCTTAATAATAATTTGTTTTCTTTAATGTTGTATGGTATAGCTACCTTTCCTGATCAGGAATAAATTCTGATTGTATGATTCAATTACATACTGATATTGTAACAGGTGCTTAAATGCAGCAATTGCTCAAAAACAGTGACTTCTCACTTGGGCCCACAAATTAACTAAAAGCAGAAGACAAGCTTGTCATCCAAGCCTTCATTTTGTATCTGTCCTTGTTTTTCACCATTCACCTCACAGTCACCTTCAAATTCAAGAAGGACAGCACTGATTGATAACATCTTTATGACAAGGGACCACAGCTGCCCTTAAGGAACAGCAGAGCCTTGCAGGACAAACCATTCCCCTCATGAGGAGAAGTACCTATAATGATGAGGCTGCACCCTGGATCAGAAATAATCATCTCATAGAAAAAAAAATATTGGTCTCCTCAAGCAATAACAGTGGTAACAACTTCTCCCGAACGTGGGAGGACCAGAACTGAGATAGTGACCAACCAAATCACACTTCTAACTGTTTAACTCAGCATACCTTTCTTTTGCCCTCTGCTCTCAGTTCTTTGTTTAAATCTGTAGCTC